GACAGAGATCACAAGTATGCAGGGAGGCAGGCAGAGAGAGGCGGAAGCAGGCTCTCCACAGAGCAGAGAGCCCGATGCAGGGCTTGATCCCAGGACCCTGGGATCATGACCTGAGCCAAAGGCAGAAGCTTTAACCTACTGAGCCACCCAGGCGCCCCATCAGTAGGGATTTTGAAAGAGATTGCACAGAATCTGCAGATCAATGTGTACTGTCATCTTTACAACATCAGGTCTTCCAATCGATGGACAGAGGCTATCTTTCCACTTGTTTGGGTCTTTCTAAATTTCTTTCGGTGATATTTTGTAGTTTTCAGCATATAAGTCTTGCACTTCTTTTGTGAAATTTCTTCCTAAGTTCTTTTTTTTCTTTTAATTTAATTTTCTTCTGTTAGTGTCCCAAAATTCATTGTTTATGCACCACACCCAGTGCTCCATGCAATACGTTCTTTTTGATGCTATTACAAATGGGATTCTTTTATTAATTTCATTTTCAGATTGCTCATTGCTAAGTACATATAAACATGATTTTTTTTTTTTTTGTATACTAATTTGGTATCCTGCAACCTTGCTGGACTTGTTTATCCTACTTTTTAAATTTTTTTTTTTAGTGAATTACTTAGGAACTTCTGTATAGAAGGTCATGTTTATATAGAGAATAGAGATAGTTTTACTTCCTCCTTTCTGGTTGGAATGCCTTTTATTCCTTTTCTTTTCTTTTTTTTTTTTTTTTTTAAGATTTTATTTATTTATTTGACAGAGAGAGAGATCACAAGTGGGCAGAGAGGCAGGCAGAGAGAGAGGAGAGAGGAGGAAGCAGGCTCCCCGCTGAGCAGAGAGCCCGATGTGGGGCTCAATCCCAGGACCCTGTGATCATGACCTGAGCCGAAGGCAGAGGCTTTAACACACTGAGCCACCCAGGCGCCCCTTTTATTCCTTTTCTTGACTAACTTCCTTGGTTAAAACCTCTAGTGCTGGGCGTCTGGGTGGCTCAGCAGGTTAAAGCCTCTGCCTTTGGCTCAGGTCATGGCCCCAGGGTCCTCGGATCGAGCCCCGCATCGGGCTCTCTGCTCCATGGGGATCCTGCTCCCCCCTCTCTCTCTTCCTGCCTCTCTGCCTACTTGTGATCTCTCTCTGTCAAATAAATATATAAAATCTAAAAAAAAAAAAAAAAAAAAGCCTGTTGGATTTTGTCAGATGTTCTTTCTGCATCCATAACATGGTTTAAATCAATCTGAAATTAAGGAAAGTCATACTGCATTCTCTTTGTAAAGACTTTGTTCAATGTATAGAAGGCTATGGTCTCCCTAATTCTTTCCCAGCCATCCACAGTTAACAACTTTTGTCAGATTGCTCCGTTTCCTTTCAGGTAATTTCCTATCCTATGTGTGTGTATGTATGTGTGTGTGTGTAGCTGTCCAAAATATATGTTTTAAAAAAAAAAGATTTATTTATTCATTTGAGAGAGAGCGCATGCGCACATGTACAAGTTGGGGGGGGAGCAAAGGGAGAGCGAATCCTGAAGCAAACTCCCTGCTGAGCACATTGAGCCCTGCATAGGCTCAATCTCAAGACCCTGAGATCATGTGACCCGAGCCAAAATGGGAAGTTGGCCGCTTAACTGACTAAGCCACCTACACAGTACACGTTTTAATAAAAAATGGTATAATTTATATACATATATGAGTGTGTGTGTGCTATTTCTTCTTGAGATACCATCTTGTTCCCAGCTGATATTCCAGCATCCCATCTTTCTCTTTTTTTCTTTTTTTTTTTTCCCATCTTTCTTTTAAGGATGAGATCAAGTCCCTCCTTTTTTTTGGTGGAAACTTCTGAGTTTATATATAACTTCTTTATATATAAACTACATATCAGACATCTTTCCTTCTAGTAACAACTTAGGATCTTACCCCCCTACTTGGCACTCTTCAGCACATATATACGCATATGTGTGTGTGTATACACACAGAAGATGTTTGGATTTGAACAACCCAAACTCTCACACAGTATACACTTACCCCTACACACCTTTTGTACCATAAGAAATGTTCCTAGCTATTGTGTGATGATGGTGTTATAACCAGTAAAATTTTGAGCCACTTTGACATTTTTATATGGTAGGGTTTGCTTGTGAATGAGCTGAATTCAGCTGTCATACAGACTACAGACAGTCCCCAACTTAAAATGATTACATTTTATACAATGGTTTGAAAGCCATATGCCTTAGTAGAAACTGTACTTTAAATTTTTTTTAAGTTTTTTTTTTAAAGATTTTATTTATTTATTTGACAGAGATCACAAGTAGGCAGAGAGGCAGGCAGAGAGAGAGAGGAAGAGAAGCAGGCCTCCTGCTGAGCAGAGAGCCCGATCTGGGGCTCGATCCCAGGACCCTGAGCCGAAAGCAGGGCTTTAACCCACTGAGTCACTCAGGCGCCCCTGTACTTTAAATTTTGAATTTTGATCATTTCCTGGGTGAGTGACACGCCGTACAATACTCTCGTGATCCTAGGCAATGGCAGCGAGCCCCATCTCCCAGCCAGCCAGCCTATCACCAGGATCAATAACCAATACAGTGATGACCATTCTGTACCCATACAACTATTCTATCTTTCACTTTCAGTGCAATATTCAATAAGTTCCACGAGCTATTCAATACTTTATTATAAAATAGACTTTATAGCGGATGATCCTGCCCAACTGTCAGCTAACGTAAATGTTTTGAGCACGTTTATAGGCAAGGCTAGGCTATGATGTCCAGTGGGTTAGGTGAGTTAAATGCATTTTCAACTTACAGTATTTTCAATTTACAGTGGGTTTATCAGGATGTTGTCCCATGACAAGTAGAGAAAGATCTCTCTGTTTTTCATGCTGTGCTCATAACACAGGCCCCTGGGTGTGAAAGTCTTACTGCATGGGAGGATCAGGGACAGAACATCCCCTCTTCCTGTTAACACTGTTAACACTGGTTATATTCCAGGCTTCTGAGTATGATTTGGTTTGAAGAAAGGGCTTTGCTGTTTTTAAAGAAACGAAATCTGAGAATCACTATTTTATTGCATTTTGCTCTTTCGGTTTCACTAAAAGGATCAGAAATTGGGAAAGTAAAACGGCTAACTCTAGTGTAACAAGTGTAAGTCTTACAAATGAAATATGCGGACGACAAAGGCGGAGCTCAGAAAGCGGGTGGAAGCCCGGAATCATTCACCTCCCTTGGGCGTCCCGGAACTTCAGCTAACCCGCTAATGTTCAATCATGAAGGAAAAAGACCACAGGTATAAAATATGTATGAAATGCTGAAAACCTATGTCATCAAAAGTTCTATCTAAATCGTGGGATATAATAGAGGGTTTTATCATCGGTTTTTAACTCCTTGGGAGCAAATGGCTCCTTGTAATGTCTGAGTCTATTAATTAACCTCCACACCTGACTTCAACCCATGGGTTCAGGAATATGCGACGTACAAAGGGAGTGGAGTGATCGGACGATATTGCCCGAGACAGAAGGAAGCTCCTTGTAATAAAGGACAAGTCCCATTTAATGGTCACTTAACAAATATTTCGCTTGTTCATTTATTAATTGTGTCTCATTAGAATAAATTTGACTTCTTCATGGAGAACAGTTTGCTGATGTGTTCCCCTCAGCCTGCTTCTCCTGTGGTAATTCTGAAGAGTGCATCAACGTGCATCTTGGGTTTCCTTGTAAACCCATGGAGACCTTCTCTGTGGTGATCTACCACCCCTGAAATCAATTCTAAACTCACTCCACTGATGTCTAACACTCAGATTTGGATGGAGACATGCTTCTACCTAGAATGGGAGCTTCATGTTTACCTGGAAGCTTGTTTTTACTTTTTTTTTTAAGATTTTATTTATTTATTTATTTATTTGACAGAGAGTGACACAGCGAGAGAGCGAACACAAGCAGGGGGAGTAGCAGAGGGAGAAGGAGGCTTCCCACCAAGCAGGGAGCCTGATGTGGGGCTCAATCCCAGGACCCTGGGATCATGCCCTGAGCCACCCAGGCGCCCCTACCTAGAAAGCTTCTTAACATTGATACTCTGCCAACAAATAGAACAGGATGTACACTTTTTAGCATGAGATACACATACCATTCTCATATGTATTTGGTAAGAATTTTTCAAAGCAAATCCTTCCTGAAGAGCCACATGACAATATGGATCAGGAATTTTAGAAAGGAACTCACCTTTTGACCTAGAAATTCTACTTCTACAATTCGTCCTACATAAACAACCAGACAAATGTGCAAAGATGCATCCATGAAGGTATCTATTACAACATTTATTAGAATAATGATAAACTGGGAAAAACCAATGGCCAGAAATGAAAGGTTTCAAAAGAAAAGGTTACTTCTAGCATATGATACGTGTTTATGTTATTCTATCTTTTAAGATTTTTAAAGCTTTATTGTATTTTTTTCATTTGAATTCCAGTGTAGTGAACATGCAGTGTTATATAAATTTTAGGTGTACAATATAGCCATTTGATGGTTCCATATATGACTCAGTGCTCAGCAAGATAAATGTACTCTTAATCTCCTTCAACCATTTTGCCTACCCCCTACCCTACCCATTAAGATTTTTAAGGTTTGGAAAATTTTACACCAAAATGCCAACAATTACTTTGGGGTAGTAGTTTCAGTGCCTCAAAAATTTTTATTTGCTCTACCTGAGTAATTTTCTATTTCTTTTTTCTAAAATGAACATGGTATTGCTCTTTTCATGTATATAATATTATTTTTTAGGTAATACAGGCCAGTAAACCCAACATTAAAAGGTTGGAGGGTACTTTTAATGACAACTGCAACACAAGTTTTGGTAAAAATTCTAAATCACTCTTGTATTTTACAGAGAGTCCTATTTCTGAGGTTTGGATGTTAGCTGTAGTACCCTCTATTTCAAATTCATCTAACAGTTTTCCCATGGGCCCTCCACATCACAAAAATTCCCCATCAGGCCAAACGCTATAATTGCACATGACTCTTACCAGATAGGCTCTCCAGAAGGATTGAATGCACAGCGCTGCCTCTTCTTCTGTCAGCAGGAGGGAGAGTGGGATCGGAGGCCGGGGGCTGAAAAGCAATCAAATGGTCATATGCCCATGAGAATCCATCCTTCAGCCTCAGCGAGCCCTTTGACAACATAATGGCCTCTCTGATTAAGCGTCTCATCCATTTCCATTCTTAGAAAGCAACAATGCCAGTTTTGATAGAGAAGTTTAGCCTTGAGTTATCGCGTTTAATTTTAAAATCTGAGATGGATTCATTTTGCTTTGTTTTTAACCAGGGTACTCTGAAATCACTGTGAGCCTGCTCTGTTCTGAAAGGCTCCAGCTGCTAGAGCTGCATGTGAGTCCTAAAGGTGGGACATCCGTAAGGCTATATGGATGTAAAACAGGAGACAAAGCAGGAGCAGCTCTTAAATACTGCATTATAACTGAGACATAATAAAGGATTCTTTTTCTACCATTCTACTGAAGGGAAATTAAGTAGTTCATCTCTTTCTTGAAGGCAAAATTATTGGAATTTATCTCTGATAAATTGTGTGCGCATTCCAGTTTAATGTGGCTTGAGTTCGGGCGTATATTTTTTTTAAAGATTTTTTTAAAATTTATTTGACAAAGAGAGATCACAAGTAGGCAGAGAGGCAGGCAGAGAGAGGGGGGAAGCAGGCTCCCCGCTGAGCAGAGAGCCCGATGCAGGGCTCAGTCGCTGGACTCAGACCATGACCTGAGCCGAAGGCAGAGGCTTTAACCCACTGAGCCACCCAGGTGCCCCTTGGGCATATTTTTAAGTTAAGTTCTGTTACTACATCTTTTTTTTTTTTTTTAAGATTTTATTTATTTTATTTGACAGACAGAGATTACAAGTAGGCAGAGAGGCAGGCAGAGAGAGAGAGGAGGAAGCAGGCTCCCTGCTGAGCAGAGAGTCTGATGCGGGGCTAGATCCCAGGACCCTGGGATCATGACCTGAGCTGAAGGCAGAGGCTTTAACCCACTGAGCCACCCAGGTGCCCCTGTTACTACATCTTAATAGGCAATAAAATATCTCAAGTGCTGGGTCAGTTGACATTGTTTGCTCTTGTGAGATTTCTCAGATTGTGATGGGATGTTTGATCATAGATAACACATTTAAAAATCATGGCGAAATGCTCTTTTCCTCCCCCCTCCCCTTAAAAGTTGCATAGAGAGACTAACTCCTGACAAGATCTTAGAAGTATGATTTAATTCTGGTTCCTTCTGTTTCTCTAAAGCACAGCTGCCTCTGGAAAGCCAAGTTAAGCCTTTTTAGATATGAGTACAAAGAAATAAACTTCAGAAAGGATGTGGGTCACATGGAGGCTGCTCCCAGGATCCTGCTTTGAATTTGCAAGTGAGGGGTTCCTAAGTTCCCAGGCCTCAGAGTTCTCCCTAACAATAGCCATCATTTGAGTTTATAGTAACTCCCATCATACAGAGAGGCTGACTGACTGACCCAAGGTCACACAGCTTGTAGGTGGCCTAGCTGGGATCTGAGTCCAGACCCACTGGATCCCAAAGCCTAGGTAGGCTTCCCTCTCAATGCTCTGCTGACACCAGACTTTCCCTGGGCAAATACTCGCAGATGCGGAGCCTGGCCCAGACTGCAAAGCTAAGATGCAACATTGCATGATTCTCCAGGATGTGTGGTTTTATTTCCCTTTAAACTCTGATTTAAAAACAACACAACCCACCCTTGATATAGTATGTTTGCTTGAATGAATGAATGAATGAATGTGCTTTTGAATTACCCCAGTAACAAAGAAATCAAAGCCCAGAAGAATCTTGAGGTCACTGAGGTCATTTCAAGGGAGTGTGGAATTGTTGCCAGGTTCTGGGTCTTGGGCTGGGCAGGCCCTTTCGGAGACACCAAGTAAAGAAGATTCTTCTATGTCTTTGGAGAGATAATGACACCCTCAAAATGATAGCATTGTTAGAAACCTTTCCCTAATGTTCTGTTTCCATTTTTATTTGCATGATGTGGTGGCTTTTTAAAATTTTTGTTTGGTTCTCTTTTTGTTTTCACTTCTTCTTGCCTAATATCTGGCTCTCTGGGCTGCAGTGGAGTATTCGTATTTTGCTGGAGCCCTGTTTTCCACAGTAAATGTCTGTGCTTATCCATTGTCCTCATTCTTGGAATCTCAGTTGTATGACACCAACAGATCATATCCCTGAAGTAATTCTCTTCCACTAGTTAAAAATCAATGGCTTCCAGAGACACCTTGTGTTTCTAAGGATACTTGGTGTGCTGGCAATGGATTTACAAGACTCACATTATTGTGCATTAATACTAGCTGATATTTACCAAGAGCTTTCTGGATTCCCCTCCTATAAGCATTGCTCCTTGTGTTCCAGCCACACTGGCCCTTTTCACCTCTTCAAAAGTGCCCTCGCACCTCAGGGCCTTTGCAGAGGGGCTTTCGCCTGCCTCCAATATCCCCCTACCCCAGCCAGGGGCATTGTGTACAGCTGTGCAGGTTGCTGCTTAAAGACACCCAGCCCGCAGGCCAGACGGCACTGAAACCCAGGCCATGTTCAGGGTGTGAGGCCCATCTGACCTATGGCAGGCACACCTTCTCCTAACTTGCTCAAAACCTTAAGGTTGGAGGTGAGGCGGCTGACACTTTTTCCTCCTGGTTCACTCTTACCCTTTCTTCTGATTATGGAAAGGTGTTCTTTGATTAGGTTAGGACCCAGTGGAGCTCTACATAATCTTCCTTCCTAGTTCTTGGCCCAAATCGGAGCTGTAACTCTGTGTGGTTATCTAATGAATGCCCTAATCGTCAACTGGACTGAAAGCTTCACGAGGGTAGAGACCAGGCCTGTGTTTGCTCCTCCTGGTAGTCCCAATGCTTAGGAATTATTCCAGAATCAAAGACATCAAAACCAGGGAGAACCTTAGGGTTGGGGACACCATTTTTCGTGGGTACTTGATAAATGTTTGTGGAATGTACCTCTCTGCCTGGCACAGCGTCCTAAGTGCTTTCCATACATTATTTCATTAAATCCTCACAGTATCACTGTTGGTGGGAATGCAAGTTGCTGCAACCACTCTGGAAAACAGCATGGAGTTTCCTCAAAAAGTTGGAAATAGAGCTACCCTATGACCCAGCAATTGAACTACTGGGTATTTACCCTAAAGATACAAACGTAGTGATCCGAAGGGGCACGTGAACCTGAATGTTTATAGCAGCAATGTCCACAATAGCCAAACTATGGAAAGAACCTAGATGTCCATCAACAGATGAATGGATAAAGAAGATGTGGTATATATACACAATGGAATACTATGCAGCCATCAAAAGAAATGAAATCTTGTCATTTGCGACGACTTGGATGGAACTAGAGGGTATCATGCTTAGTGAAATAAGTCAGTCGGAGAAAGACAACTATCATATGATCTCCCTGATATGAGGAAGTGGAGATGCAACATGGGGGGTTTGGGGGGTAGGAAAAGAATAAATGAAACAAGATGGGATCAGGAGGGAGACAAACCATAAGTGACTCTTAATCTCACAAAACAAACAGAGCGTTGCTGGGGGGAGGGGGGGAGGGAGAGGGGGGTGGGGTAATGGACATTGGGGAGGGTATGTGCTATGGTGAGTGCTGTGAAGTGTGTAAACCTGGCGATTCACAGACCTGTACCCCTGGGGATAAAAATACATTAAATGTTTATTAAAAAATAAAAAAATTAAATTAAAAAAATTTTTAAAAAATCCTCACAGTATCAGTAATGAGCGATTGTTATCCTTCTTTTGGAATGAAGAAACTGAGGCACAGAGGTGTGAAGTGACTCATTCAAGGTCACTGACCATATCTTGCTGAGAATCTTTTGGCCCGGGAAGCACAGGGATTGGCCTAAGGAGAAGAGAAGGCAGCTCACAAGGTCACTGATGAGGAATTCAGGGTCTCACAGCTGTGTGTGTTTAATAGAAGAAAACACAGTCATTTGCCTAGAAGAAAAAATGGGGGTGGGGGTGGGGGTGTCATAATCACAGAAAATGCCCTCTTCGTTAATTCTTACAGAAATAACTTGGCAGGTATTCATTTGTCTGACGTTCCATGGGGAAATCTGATGTCAGTTCAGCAGAACAAAGTGGAGTTTGTCACTTGTATCTGAGGGGAGATTTGATGGCGCCTTTCTGTTCGGGAGCAATATTCCTGCCTTAAGTATATTTTTTTCTACTGATGTCATGAAATCCTCAAAGTAACCGTATTCCTGTTTCGGAATAGCAGTAGGAAAGGAGAACTGCAAATCTTGGGACAACAGGCTGGGCCAGCCTGACAAAGGGCTTTCACCGGTAATGAAACCTCGAATGGCTTTGCATCACAATGCATCTCCAAAAAGCATAATGAGATTTCTAATAGGCCTTTAAACAGTAATATGAGGCCACCTTTAGTGACATCCCTGCTTTCACGGCTAAATAATGGGGCGCTGTCTCGTTCCCAAACCAAGAATAAGTATGAGAGAGCCAGTGTAAATCAGGCCAAATGAAAAGGACTTAATCTTCCGAGAGTAGTCCCTGGGAATTATCAATCATTTTAGCAGGCCAGCTTGAAGGGATAGAAGCCACGTCAGGCCCTTTTCTCTCTTTTGGAATCAGTGCAACTGGCTTCAGGTCAAATAAAAATAGAGGTGGAGTAGAGGCGACCGCTCATCATTGGGGAACTCAGGTGGGGGATGATGGGCCATGTCAGTCAAAGGAGAAGGCAGCACCGGAGGCTTCCCCCTCAAGAGATTCCCCAGAACAGACAGGTTTGTGTGTTTCTTTTCTTTCTTTTTTTTTTTTTTTTAGATTTATTTATTTATTTGACACAGAGAGAGAGAAAAAGATCACAAGTAGGCAGAAAGGCAGGCAGAGAGAGGGGACGGGGTGGGGGGAGAAGCAGGCTCCCTGCTGAGCAGAGAGTCTGACGCGGGGGCTTGATCCCAGGACCCTGAGACCTTGACCTGAGCTGAAGACAGAGGCCCAACCCACTGAGCCACCCAGGCACCCCAGGTTTGTGTGTTTCTATCGGCAAAACAGAACCACTAAGTATGTTTTTAAGACCTGA